TCAGCCCCCCTAGTCCAGGTATCCATCCCATCAGCAGGTGGGGGCTGAGCCTCCCGCTCACAGTCAAAGGCTTCTGCCTGTAGGAGGCGCTGCAGCCTTGTTCTCCTCCTATAGTAAACCAGGAATGAGGGGCGTGGATGATGGAGACTGCGTTGCTGTAACAAAACGCCTGAGGTTTGAATTTCATGTTTTTAAAAAAGGTTTATCTAGCTCACAGTTTTGGAGATTCAGAGGCCCCCATCTGGTGAAGGCTTTCTAGGTGGCAGATCCCACATGGTGCATAGGGCATCATGTTGCAAGAGACAGGGAGAACATGCAGGTGTCTCCTCTGTTCTCTCTCCATCTTACAATGTCACCAGGAGGCAATCAGGGGGCTCTGCCTTGATGACCTTATCTAACCCAATTAAGAAACAAGAAGTTGCCTGACAGCGAGGCTCCCAGGAGCTGACCCATATCCGAGCCCCCAGCCAGGCACACGCTGGACACACAGTGCTGTGGCTCTGGATGATATAGTTGTGGCTACAGAAAACCAGATTTCTTGTCAGGAGTGTTGGCTGGGTGACTTTGGGAAAGTGGCTCAACCTCTCTGTTCTTGGTCTATTCATTTCTAAAATCAGAATAGCAGAGAATTTCCTGAACCTCATAAAAGATAGAAAAGAAAAACCCACAGCTAACACCACACCCAGCGACAGAGATTGAACGTCTCTTCAACACCAAGAGCAAGATGAATGCTGGGCACTGATGTTCCACATTGTGCTGGAGGGTTTCAACCAGGAAAATGAAGTAAGAAAAATAAATGTTTCCATATTATAAAGAAAAAAGTAAAATTACTCTCCTTTCTCAGGTGAAATCATCTTAAATATAGAAAATCCTAAGGAATCCACAGGGGGCTAAAAGCGATCAGAATTAATAACTGAGCCCAGTAAATGTGCAGGATGAAACGCGGGTGTAGAAGACAAGTGCGTCCTGAGTATTCTGCACTAGGAGTGAACCCTCCGAACTCGGAACTGAGGGGACACCTCGCTTTAGTTGCACCCCCCGGGGGGTTTTCCCCGGGAGAAAGCCACTATGGCTCCTTGTTTTCCAACCAGGGCCCCAAGGTCATCCACCAGAGACAGAGGGGCCATGGTAGCCGATGGCCAGTGGGAGTGTCCAACAGCTCAGCTGTACTGAGAGAAAGTTCCCCAGTCCCTCAGAGTGACGTCCAGGGCCTCAGATGACCCAGCAGTCCCCCCTGGGCACGTGTCCCCGAGAAAACCCAGGTCTACGGAAAACACGCCCACGTGTGTCCCAAGGAGCGTCCCTCACGCCAGTGAGTGTCCATCGACGGTTGAGGGGTGACCCAAATGTGGCCTGTCCATGCAATGGGACATTTTCCCAAGAAGAGGGACCAAGCACTGATACAGGGCAGCAGGACTTGACGTTGAAGGCTTTGCACTAGTGACAGGGGACAGTCTAGAAGACGGGTCGTCCGTGACGTTCCACGTCTGTGCAGTGACGGAGCAGGCGTCCAGAGAGCCCCGGGCAGGGCAGGGGCTGGGGGCAGGGAGGGCTGGGGGCAGGGAGGGCTGGGGGGCCGCGGTGGGAACAGGTCTCTTTGGAAGTGATGAGTGCTCTGAAGGCAGACGGTGGCCGTGGCCGCACAGCCCTGTGGGGACACCGGGAGCCGCGGACGCACACGGGTTAGGTGCGTGCGTTTCAGGCCCAGAGCGCGGGGTGGCCGGTTGTGAAAGGAGCAGGCTGACGTCGCCTTTTCCTGCCATTCCTGGACCTGAAGTCCCCATGCTTCAGGCTGTGGGGCTGTGACCTCTGCTGCTGACACTCTGGGATGGTAGGTGGCCCTTGGCCTCCCCGTGGCTGAGGCCTGCGGTCACTCACTGGTTCATGGCTCAGCACCAGGGACCCTGCTG